TTTATGGAAATGGCAATTGTTATTGCTATCCATCAGGAGGAATCAGGCATGGATCCGACAGATGTTCGGATCAAGAAGAATGAAAATATCTTCTTCAGTTGGCATCGAGTGCCATTCGTTAACGGATGATCTGTTGGGCCTGAAATTTTGGCGGTAGTCTTTGGTGAGTGTTGTTAGCTTATAATAATTTTTTCAAATTTTTTGGTCGTTAAATTAACGATTTTTGTCTCGAACGACGCAGCGTCGTAACGACTTTCTGTCGAACGAAATCGTTGGAAGTTGATGGGTCTCCTGGAGTTGGTGGCCTCAAACATTGTTTCGCAAATCATTCAACTGGTCAGTGACTTTGTGCTATTGTGGATCTTCAAATTTTTCAAAGGAAAACTCCAACAAGTGAAAAGTGAGTTCAAACAAAAAAAAAATTTTGTTTTTCAGAAATAACATTTTCTTTGAAAATCTTTGCAGATGGCGTTCCTGAGGATCCTGGTGTTGCTGGTCGTCGGTGTTGCGGCTGCCGGGGCAGACTGCGGTCCCGAAGATGGAGTGTTTGTGTGTTGGGACGTCTGCGGCAAGGAGGTGAGGGGCGCCGGCGGCTACGGGCCCCGCGTGACGTTCGTCGGGGCGACGCTGTTCTTGGACTGCGTCAGGCAGGCGGATCTCAAGGTGAGTTTCGAGAAAACGGAATAAATGACATGTATGACAGCCATTCTTGTTTGTAGGAGGTGAAGCTGCTGTCACCAACGGTCTGCGTCAGACGTCGGTCCGAGATGGATCGAGTGGTGACACCATGGAGGTGGTGCGAGGAGGTCGTGCCACCCGAGCCGGAAGTTTCGACGGCGGCAGTTCCGCCGGTGGTTGGTGAGTTTGTTTTTGTCAACTTTTTCACACAAGCATAAACATTACAAAAACACAACTCACACACATAACATCATAACACATATCGAACAACTGACCAACACCAAAACAAAAATTTCTTTCACCAGATATTAATAAAATTTTGTATATACAGATGAGCCTTGCCCAGTGGCGCCGACGGCCAACCTGGTGGTCGTCCACATGCCGGCGAGCAAAACACCTTTCATGGTTCGGGCGCCGCCTTCGACGCAGCAAAGCGTCGTGGTGGCCCAAAAGGTGCCACACGTCATCAAGGCACCGTCATCGACGCCGGAGGTGACGGTCAACATCAAGCATGGTGTTGCGCACGTCGAGGCAGACGTGGACCCGTGGACGGCGATGGTCCTGGTCTTTATGGGCCTTGGGGGAGCTGGAGCCACATCTCTGGCTGTCTTTTTGGTTTGGCTGGTTAAGTTCATCAGGAACAAGGTTAGCCAAATTTTCTTTTGTTTTAATAAAAATGATTAACAATGCTTTTTTGCTTTTATGCTTGCTTTGCTTCTTTTTGTGCATGCAATTTAAAAAATAGAGAAAGAAAAGAATTTTGAAGCTTGATAAGGCTAAAGTTAAAGAATGCATGATAGGATCTATGCCCAATATATTTTTTAATGGGCTAGATTCTGATGAGGAGTTTGAAGTTTTCTCTCAAAACTATGCAGATATCAGGGCTAGATCCCCAAGAGTTTCAACATTTAGACAAGGTAAACAAATAGCATGTAATTA